CTGTGGCATTTGTTATTACTTTATTCCTACCATCGAACCCTAACGAATCCCGGTGAGAAACGCCGGTTGCGAATTTTTTCACGTTCAAAACTAATTTGACTGGACTAATACGAGAATGAAACAATCCATTGACAACACCAAGATATCCAGCAGCAGATGAATGATGAAAGCTGAAACGCACCAGACGCAATCGCACAGTGTTGATACATGAAACAAGCAGACAACTAATACCAAGCTATCGACACCGATCGATCAAAATCGATTGGCGCTCGTGGGTCGCTTCAGACAACACAAGCGAACGACGACTGTGACCACGTCGCGAGGCGCCATTATTGCCACTCTGCTTGTACCCTAAGCACGTGTCGAGTCGTATCTTAAGAACGAGAAAGTGAAAGTAAAAGTGAAAGTAAAAGTGTGTCTCGAGAAGCATCTCTCCGTCTTCTAAGTACTCCTGATGACGACGTCCAACCCGCGGAAGCCGGCCACCGAACGTGTCGACGAAGATCGAAGAAATAGAGTAAGCTTATTTGAGTAACCTATAAGTCGAAAACCACGAGCTCTCTCGCGCATCAGTAGATTCTTCCCCTGTGCAACCCCGCTTCCCTTCGAGACTTTTTCGCGAGTTTTAATTGCTCTCCGCTAAGCCAGACAAAAATTGATGTAAAAATTGAAGACGTGAAAGATTGTATGCTGTCAACGACGAAATCTGTTTAATTAGAATAACATCAAATTAATTATTATCATTTCATTATTTATATTTTACGGTCCACGTGCCGCGTAACACGTGGTGGTGCCCTTACTCTCGTTGACCAACGAACTGTCAATTTCATTTCTGTACATTCAATAAATTATTATCTTCTCTTTTATAATTTAACCTAATAAAACAGTTTGTTATAATTTATTCCAGACGCCTGAAACCCCCTTTATACGTCAAAGTTGCAATTTGTAGGTTAGAGTGTTATAAATTCACTTATATATGCGACGGGGCGGAATTAGGGCGGCAACTGCTGCCCGCTGCCCGCTGCCGAGACTCGACGCACGTATCTCTTTCTCTCTCGCTCTCGCACGCGCGTATGACTGTGTTTACATATATATGCACGAGGCAACGAAACAACATAAGCAACAGCAGTCGGCTTAGCTCACGGGATTGACTGCGTTGCGATATCTTTCTCTCTCTCACTTATGCATATACGATAATATATAGAATACGTATGTTCTGTCTATGCGTATACGTCGCGAGACTGTACGCACTATCATGCATGTTTTCGAATCTGATATTAATCAATGCATGCATGTATACATGTCTATGAGTGTGTGTCTTCTTAAGAAAAGTCGACATTTTTATCATGTTACATTAACATACAACGAACGATAATCGCTCAATGCACTAATTTAATTAATAAAAATGTACTTTCGAAACTACAATTGAAAGTTGAAGAAAATTATTAAAGTACGAGTCATTTTTTGAAAATGTGATTTCCAATATAAAATAAAAAATACCTATCAAAAAAACTCTAAACAAAAAACAAATTGAAAATTGAAAAATTAGGAAAAAAAAATTAAAAATAAATTAGCTGTTTATGAACAGCTGGAAGATGTGAAACATCTTTGTCAATTAATCAAAGACAATTAAATGCACTCGGCAACAAAATTATCGCAACAAAAAAATTCATCGAAATTTTGTCGATTTTCAAATGCTTCTATCTTGGGCTAGATTTATCGTATCGACACGCTTTTTGTTTTAATTTCTTGGAAATTTTGTCCTCTTTAAATCCATATAAATTAAGATAAGATTTGAGTTAATGTTGAGTTACCAGTAGTATTTGAGCGTGACCCTAAAAATTACTGAAAAAAAATGACTGTTTGAACGTGTACCAGTACCACAGTGATTTTTTTATCGAAATCTTATATACACTATCGCAAAGTGCTCTTTTCAACGAGTAATTTAAAAAAAAAAGACCTCTCTACGATTTTTTTAACGCCCTGTAGGTCGATTTGAAGGTACGATTCATGTACGCAAAATGCCCAGAAAATCGTCTTGATTTCAGGTAAACGGGGGATTTTACGTACTTCAAATGGTATTTTCAAATCGACCTACAGGGCGTTAAAAAAATCGTAGAGAGGTCTTTTTTTTTTAAATTACTCGTTGAAAAGAGCATTTTGCGATGGTGTATGTTAGATTTCGATAAAAAAATCACTGTGGTACTGGTACACGTTCAAACAGTCATTTTTTTTCAGTAATTTTTAGGGTCACGCTCAAATACTACTGGTAACTCAACATTAACTCAAATCTTATCTTAATTTATATGGATTTTAAGAGGACAAAATTTCCAAGAAATTAAAAAAAAAAGCGTGTCGATACAATAAATCTAGCCCAAGATAGAAGCATTTGAAAATCGACAAAATTTCGATGAATTTTTTTGTTGCGATAATTTTGTTGCCGAGTGTAATTTAAAAGAACTAAATAAATCCAAAAACATGAATCAATAATAAAAACAAAAAATCAAACTAAAAACTAAAAACACAAAAAATCCAACTAGAAACTAAAAAAAACAAAAAACCAAACTAGAAACGTAAAAAAGAAAAAAACCCAACTTAAAACTAAAAAAATCAAGAAACAAGAAAAAAAACTCAGAAAATCCCAACACAAGCATCGATGTTTCACATCTGGTGTAATTATGCTCGAGAAACTACTCTGATTTTAAGAGTAAGCACTTATTCATTATGCACCAGATGTGAAACATCGATGCTTGTGTTGGGATTTTTTGAGTTTTTTTTCTTGTTTCTTGATTTTTTTAGTTTTTAGTTGGGTTTTTTTCTTTTTTTAGTTTCTAGTTTGGTTTTTTTTTATTTATTCCTCCCCACCCAACCTAAATCTACACTTACCCCATACAAAGGGAGGTCTGGGCCGTCTACAATCGAGCTGCGAGCGCCGACTCGCGTCACCAACTTATCGTCAGATGTCGCTAGCTGCACTTTTTCTTGGCCTGAAATTACCTACTCAAAATACATGCTACTTAAGCAAATATGACAAATTTTAAGAAAGTCAATATTTAATCAACTCTAAATGTCATATTGAAGCTCTTAGAAGAGGAGCACAAAACTTTTTTTAAAATTCTGCTTCGATTAGGTGGATAAGGGTACTTTTCTGAAGACATTGAGACTCCATAGATCGACATTAATGAACTCACATCAGAATCGCGGGGCAAGTAAATCCAATTACAATATTTACCATCATGAAAAAAGTGATGTAATTGGTCTTTCAGAACTAGAGGTTTTTTCGGTCTATCAGATGTGTAATGAACATATTTTACTATAAAAAAAAAAAAATTTACGAAATTTCCCACATTTTTTCCGGTGCTATAAACTTTGTAAAAATAATATCTGAAAAATGTTTAAATAGTCATTTTTGACGTGCAATTTTATGAACTTTTCGAGTCTGGTACCAGAATTGTCAAAAAAGTTGAAGAACAAATGTTATGAACAATTGAACAACAAAAAACAGGATTTTTTTGAAAAAAATTTTGATTCGACCTAAATTTTCGAATCAAAAGAGACTTGATCCGTGAGTCTAACACATATTTTTTGCGTCCATGAGGTGTAGACATAAAAGTCCAATAGTTACAATATCAAAATTCAACATGGTGGACAACAAAATCGCGCCTCGTAAAAAAAACCATGTAAAAACTTGATTAATTTTTTTATATGCTAACCAAGCGTCTAGAAAAAAAGCTTTACTTGGAAAAAGTTCTTAAAATTGTTCAAAACAGGCCCCTGAATTTTTTCAGAATTTTCCGAGGAAACTTTTGGATTTTCGAAAATGTTCAGAAATCAAAAATACCAAAAATGATCCAAAAAAATCTTAAAAAATTAAATGTTCTTCGAAATATTCTAAGACTTTTATAACATACAACACTTTTTCGTCAAGTTCTTCATTTTCGAGCTATAAAAACTAATTATGTTCTTAAAATAATTATAATGTAATTTTTTCACTTGAAAATGAAGAACTTCACGAAAAAGTGTTGTAAGTTATGAAAGTCTTAGAATATTTCAAAGAACATGTCTGAATTTTTTACGATTTTTTTGGATCATTTTTGGTATTTTTGATTTCTGAACATTTTCAAAAATCCAAAAGTTTCCTCGGAAAATTCTGAAAAAATTCAGGGGCCTGTTTTGAACAATTTTAAGAACTTTTTCTAAGTAAAGCTTTTTTTCTAGACGCTTGGTTAGCATATAAAAAAATTAATCAAGTTTTTACATGGTTTTTTTTACGAGGCGCGATTTTGTTGTCCACCATGTTGAATTTTGATATTGTAACTATTGGACTTTTATGTCTACACCTCATGGACGCAAAAAATATGTGTTAGACCCACAGATCAAGTCTCTTTTGATTCGAAAATTTAGGTCGAATCAAAATTTTTTTCAAAAAAATCCTGTTTTTTGTTGTTTAATTGTTTATAACTTTTGCTCCTCAACTTTTTTGACAATTCTGGCACTGAATTCGAAAAGTTCATACAATTTTACGTCAGAAATGACTATTTAATTATTTTTTAGATATTTTTTTCACAAAGTTTATAGCACTGGAAAAAATGTAGGAAATTTCGTACGTTTGGCACGAAACGGGTTAAACAAGCAAATAAAAAATTGAATAAAAACAACCTAGGAATTTTTTGGAATAAAGCTAATTACTAATTATTTTTTTCAAAAATTATTATTTTGTGGGTCGCTGCATTCGCCAACGGGGTTGTCACGCCCCACTCTCTTCTACATATGGTCATTTCTTTTGTCTCCAAACTCTTCAGTAATCACTGAGAAATACTCTTGTTCACAAATATAAGAACGAAACGGCCTTACGATGACTGGTATAAAATTTCGTTTCAACGCCTGAGCAGATATTTCTCGTGAAGAATGTATACCCTGTTTTTTCTTAATGTAGGTTTTTGTATTTCATGCAACCTCGTTATTATTTATTCATACATAAATTGATGTTTAAAATTTACCTGTTATATCAATTACTTTCAATGTATCAACTGTACTATCAACCAAGTCTTCTGAAAGGATTGATAATTTATTATTTTGGAGATTCAAGATTTCCAGAGAGTTTAAATTTTCAAAAGTCGATGATGGAATGAATTTTATTCTGAAAAAAAAATATAAATCTGTAGCAATATTAACTGCAAGATTATGTGTATATCAATAGATATATCTAGAGGGACGATAAACTTTGAAAGAATCTTGTTAAAAAATTTCATATAGAACCATATAGTTCCAATTTCATATAGAAAATTTCATATAGAATCATATAGAACTTTATTCCAGTGAGAGTTTGTACACTATCAGTTGACAAAAAAGTTCAGCAAATGAGAGGTTACATAATAGTACCTTATGAAAGATACTATTAAGAAACAAAGATTAAGAAAGATACAAAGATTTTGTTATAACTTTTTCTACTTATGCAATACTTTTTTTACATGAAGATGAGGCTTCGGTATCTTTGACACTTTTTAAGAACGAATCAACCACGAATAGAGATTTTCCTGCATACAAAAGTTTGTGCATGAGCTATGATGTGCATGTGTTGGATTGATGGACGGTACTCTTTGTCTAGGATTCCACCCAGGTACACGAATCACATGCGGCAGTAGTCGTTCCCCCCCAAGGTTGATAGTAAGATCTCAACGGTGCTAATATAATGCGGACTCAGTTGCGGTGGAAAGCCTGACAAACAAACTTCGTAGTCGCAGTTAGCTGCCTCAGGAGTTGGATCTGACACAATTGTAGCGGGCGCAGGCTGATCGCGTAAAATCTCAGGAAAGGGTTTAAACGTTTCTTGATACTGTAAAAACGAGCTGTCATCATCTGTTCAAATTTTGGAAGCCAGTATGGCGTATCGCAGTCGATCTTTCTACTTTTTGCACTCGACTTCCATCCGCTTAGATGAGACTAAGACATGGTCTTGTAAGCCTTTGCCAGAATGTGCAGTTTCGATAAAAATTATACGGTATTTGAAAAGTTGATCGGAGCAGTGCATTGTATAGCAGAGAGATCGTCGTGACTCCTACTCCATCCTAAAACCTGGCTCTTCATTCACCCTGAACTTCCACGATCTATTGCGCAGGTCTGCCAGCTAGTGATTGTTTGAGAAAATTTCGAGGAGAGACCTTACCCTCAAATGGGTTGATGCTTTGCATTCTTCATTAAAAATATGATATGCAGGCCCGGTGCAGCGAGAAAACTGGACAGCACAACGCCCAGGCTGTGCACTCAGTCGACTACCTCTACCACCTGACCGTTGACAACGATAGGTGGCAGTACACGACCTCTAACATATTTTAAAGAACGATTGCTGTCGAATATGATGGCCTTAGTCTTAGTCGCGTTCAGACTCAGACTCAGCGATCTTACATAGCGAGAAAGTGAATCCGGATCAGCATTCATCTGTGCTATAGCACACTCTATCTCGTCAGGGCGACACTGAATGTACAGCTGAGTGTTATCACTAAACAACACATAGTTACCTCTACAAGACGTGAGACACCTAGGGAAAGACTTTAAAACGGCAAGAAATAACACTGGCCCCGGAGAAGACCCCTGCGGGACACTAGATATCACCTTCGCAAAATCCGAAGAACGCCCGTCACTGCCAATAACCGCTTGCATCCTCCACATGATGCACGAGTGTACAAATGTAAGAGCCTAATCAGGGAACCCCAAGGATCAGAGAGATCTCAAAAGCGCAACATGATCCAAAGTGTCAAAAGCCTTCTCGTCGAAAGGTCAAACAACATAACTAGAGTGACCACGCCGTCGTCAATGCTGTGGCAGTCCTATGTTTGAGAGGGTTTTATCAAGGTTGGTGCTGTCAGAAAGGTTCGATTCAATAGGTAATCCAGACGGCAGCACCTCACAGTCGTCAGTAAGAAGTTGAGGAGCAAGAGAAAAACCATCTGTTTGGATGTTCTGAACTGTCCTGGTGACATGAAGAAGCTCCTGTCTAATGGCTGAGATAGATTCAGCATTCACCTTTAAGACGTTCTCCTGCTTCCTCAATCGCTCATCCAGTTTGCCCACGGCCCTTGCCACACCCTCCATCCATCCATTCATCCATCCATCCATCCATCCTGATAATGATAATACTAGAAGAAAGCAAGAAGGAATTATGGACTGGTGTTAGGAAATATTGAGAAGATTGGTTAAGATGTGGAAAGCTATGGTGTGAAATTATTGTCAACGGGAAGATAAAGATGTATTGAGGAAGAATAGGCTACGCGCATGAGTAAGGAGAGATGTAATGATTCAATATCAACTTTAGTTAATACCAAGTCCGGTATAAATACACTGTCACGAACACTTGCACAAACACAGGTAATCAGCTTCAAAAAAGCAGACGATATCCCAAACCAATCGGTGAAAATCTGCGCCTCCTCGTTGAAACAGAAAGTTTCCTTGGATCTTTGCTTGGCTCTTTCTGCACCCTGGAGATTAGCCTAGCAGACAGATGCTGGGTGATGTTGAGCCGTCTCTATGGGCATGACTGTGGGTGCACGATTTTGGAAACTAACTTTCAATGCTGGTGTAGAATACAAAGATGGTTTTAGGGAATGCAAGGGTAACTGTCGTGACGGTGGTTCAGCAGTAGTTGAATCTTGCAAAATTAGATAAAAGTGCGGGTTGTCGTACTTACTAATAGCATACATCAGTAGCTTCATAAATATAGATTTTTGTTTGCAAAACAGCTCTCTCAGGGAAAGGGTAAGAGTTATAAAGTTATATAAGTACAATAGCTTAGATTATTATAGGACAGTATAGATTGAATGTTATAGATTATAATCAAGAGTAGCGTAGTAGTAGAGCATATTTAGTTATATTAACATCATAGTTCCAGGAAGGAGAATTTGACTATTTTTTTATATACATTTATTGAAAAGGAGAAACTTGTAAAGAGCTCAGGGATCATTGTCATCTGGCTTACTCGATTTGCAGTCGACAGGAAAGAAAGTTCACAGGGGGGGGGGGGGGGGGGGGNGACATCAGGTTCGTATTCTAGGTGTTCCATGGTGCACCGTTGTTTCCAATCGTGTACTTCGAGTTTGAATAAATGGTTTCGAACCAGTCGCTTAAATGCTCTTGGAGGGTTGCGAGGGTCCTCTATAGATGGAAGGCTGTTGATGAGACGAGTTGCTGTTGTGTATGTTATATATACAAGCGCGCTATGTGTGTGTGTGTGCCGTATGGGGAACGCGTCGGAGCGTCAGCGTCGTCAGACCCAGCTCTAAAACGAGCATCCCCTCCCTTGCGCGCTACTGCGCGCCAGCGCGCTGCTCCGAACCCACTTGGTTCTCTGCGCTTGCCTGAGACGCACGCATGTGAACGTGTACACTGTATCAGCTAACCTTCCTTATATAATAAATATATATATACACTAATTCTTCTCTGTGTACTCATTCACAATAGGTTATGGGCCCAGTCCCGCACTAAAGTGTATAAAGTATCGTGTATAAAGTGTCGTAAAATTTTTCTCTCATTTTGTATAATCAGCCAGCCTTGTGCAAAAGTGCAAAAGTGTTATCAAAATGGAGAGTGGTGACTTGTTGAAAGTTGCAAAGCTGAAAAACGCTGACAATTGGAGCACGCGGAAATTTCAATTACGTGTGATACTAACTTCACAAGAGGTATACGATGTAGTGACTGGTGAGACACAAAAACCGAGTGCACTTGCTGCAGATGCAACAGCGACAGATCGTACATCATTTGAAACCAAGCAAAAAGAATTCATGAAGAAGGATGGAATAGCGCAGAAATTTATCGTTACATCAATGGAGAAGCAACCGATGATGCTTATTTTAAATTGTGAAACAGCGAAAGAGATGTGGGATAAACTTCAAGCTGTTCACGAAAGTAAAAATGAACTGAGTATGCATGCATTGCAACAAAAGTGGTTCAGCTTGAAAAAAGATCCATCAGATGACATAGCTACGCATATAGCCAAAATCGAAGATTTGTGCTGTTCACTCAAAGCCATGAACGAGCCTGTTTCAAGTAGCATGATGTTAACGAAAATAATAATGACTCTACCTAAAGAGTATAATCATTTTGTATCAGCATGGGAGTCCGTGACTAATGAACAAAAAACGATTGAAAACTTAACATCTAGGTTAATCATGGAAGAGGTACGGCTCACCGAAACAAATGCTGAAAGTAATGCGCTGATGTCGCACCATAAGCATTCGAAGAAACGTTCGAATTCCGGAAATGCTTCGAAGAGCCACCGACAAAATAATAAAGGTGGCTGTTGGAATTGTGGCAAAGCAGGACATAAGCAGCGCGACTGTTGGAGTAAGCCGAAACAACGTTCCACAGAAGCATCAAGCAAAACTCCAAGTGAAGGAAACGCGCTTATTGGAAGCCTACTGACATCAACGGACACAGCAGCGTACACATCGAGCGATGTTTGCCCCGAAAGTTGGCTGCTAGACTCAGGCGCTTCGCAGCACATGACAAGCAGACGCGAATGGTTTTCCAGCTACACCAGGTTCGACAACAAACACTCTATACAGCTCGGCGACAGACGCATTCTTACTGCAGAGGGCAAAGGCAGCATCGATGTAAACGTTTCTGATGGAAAGAAATGGACTTCTAAGTATTTATCTGATGTATTATACGTACCGGGTATATATTTTAATTTGTTTTCGATGGGCGCCGCTCTAGCCAAAGATCTTAGTTTCAAATGTAACAATACAGAATGCTATTTTTATCGCGACTGTAAGAATTTTGAACCAGTAGTTGTCGGAAGAAAACGTGAAAATGAAAAGATTTTTAAAATGAAAATTGAGGTTATCAATCCGGAGAAATCTTTGATTGCACAAAATAATAATACGAATGGTATTAATTCACTAAGACTTTGGCATGAGCGATTAGCTCACCAAAACATTGCGCATACTAAACAATTTTTGCGCGAAAATAATATTGAATGCTCCGAAAAGGTGTACGAGTGCGATCCATGTACACTCGGTAAAATGCACCGTTTGCCATTCCCGAACAGCACAAGTTGCACGACTAGAGTCGGTGAAATCGTCCACTCAGATCTTTGTGGTCCCATGGAAATAACGTCGATCGGTAAATCGAGATACTTTTTACTTT